CCCCCCCCCCCCCCCCCGACCCCCATTTGGGGCGCTTTGTTCTCTTTCACACAGTGCACGCTCAGTGTCTGTCCCTATCGGTAGCTGGGGTGAAGAAGCCACTGTTCAGGTAGCTGTTACCTGAATCAGATGATCAAAGTGGGTAATATTTTGTACCACCAGTGACCTGGTACATGGATTAAAAAAAAAAACCAAGAGAGTGCTGCAGAGCTCAACTACCATTGAATATTGAACAATCAGTTTGGGGATGGCCTTTTACCTGGAGGGGACGTTTGTGCCATCTTCTCCACACAATGCTGTGATTTGACTGGCTTAAATGCACTGAACTTCTCAATGGCTGTAGATCCAGTAGAAGTTATGTTGAATGTGTGATATTTATAGGGTAGTTTTAGCAGCAGGAGAAGTAATTCCACTGCCAACCTGCACTGAAAACAAGTGTATATTTGTTTGATAGTTAAAATCCTGTAGCTAGCAAAATCCAGGAGCTCTTTGTAGGTTAGCTGTGGTCTGACTTCATGCATTCTCCCACTTACTGTCCATGTTTTGCTTTGCTTTTCTTCTCAGAGCTGGTAATTTTGTGTGATTAGTGAACTAATGGGTGATGATTTTTTTGTTTAAAAGGAAGCCGCTGTAATGATGCAAACAAAACTTTCCTACATTCGTTTATGATTTCAGCTTAAAAAGTGTGCAGATTATATATTCGTGATTATAACTGGTCTAATTTTTTTTATTATTATTATTTATTTAGTAGCAAGATTGGAACATTGGTAGGAAATGGAAACCTTTGAAAAGCATTGTTGGGTTTCTTTCATTTCCTGAATTTAACCGACATAGAAATAGTTTAGTTCTGCTCCACCTCAAAGTCTATTTTTCAATTAATTTTTTCTTTGTCAAAGAAAAATTTGCTCAGCTCTAGTCATAATGTCCTTGTGCTTACATATGACTCTTTCTATATATGTTTTGGCATCTGGGTTTGACACAGGTTGTTAAACCAAAGCAGTCATACCTTTATTCACATTTAAACGATTGATTTCCAGTCCCACGTTGGATACATTGATTGTCATATTAAGTAGGTTTGGGGGTAAGGCCTGTTTGAAAATTATTAACATACCTGAATAGGACACATCTTAATCACTGCCTGACAGATGTAGGAGAAAGCCCGTGATGGTATCGCGGACGAAGGGACAGGGAGGGCTTGATGCGTGCTGCTGCTGTGGCCCTGCAGTGCCCCAATCCACAGCAGGGATCTTCATCACCAGCCACGCTGCCTCCAACGCGCGGGTTCCTAATGAAAGCAAATAAACAGCTCTGTAATGTGTCATTGCTTTGGATAAGAAATACCGCAGGTTTTTCGTTGCCTGTGGAAGTACCCTCTGCTCTGTTCTTTACTTTCCCCGTCATTCCTTACCTGTTTGGTCAATATGATCTTTAAATACCGTTTTCTGTTTGGTTGGGTTTTGTTTGGTTGGTTTTTTAAGGTATGATAACTTTTTCTAGAATATTACCAGAAAACACTCAAACAAAATTAAATGAAAAGGAAGGTCTGAATACTCAGTATAATATCTTGAGGCAAAGGGATTGTTTTCATTACCGATATTTTCACCGTGCTTTCTGTTGTATATTCAAACGTGTTTATTAGGAGAAAAATAGAATTTTGCAGGTGTGCATCACTTCTTTGGCAAGAATGAATGATGTGATTATTCAGTGAGTGCATCGTTAGAGTATGGTGCCACAGCAGAGCTGAGTAGGCACAACAGCCTTGTTGCTGTTCCCTGCCACAGTGACTGAAAAATTCGGTGATACAGCTCTGCCAGGAGTTGACAAGGAATTTTTCATCAAGAAGAATACAGTTGAGAGCAAAGACCGTGATTAGTTTGTTTTCGGTTTCTATTAAAGCCTCCTCCCAGCTTTGCTCCTACTCTTTATGTATTTCATATAGAACAATCATTACAAAATAACTGGCAAATCACTGCAGTCTTTAGAAGGGTAGATCTCTTAATAAATTCAAAAAGGGAGGTCTCCGTAAAGACTATGAGGAGCAGCACATTCCTGAAACACGTACTTAATAGGATTTCTTATGAATGTAATGGTTGATTTTGTAAATGACTGGATAAATCCTATGGAAAGAAACTAGTTGACCTTATTCTTTGGCTTTTTTTGATTATTCTGGAAGGTGATTTTGTGACATCTAGTCGCCAATTTGCATTAATTGCTGCTGTAGAGATTTTGAAATGGAAATATTTGTTCCTTGAACTTTAGTTTGTAACAAGACCGCTATATTTTGTTAAAACTGCTTCGAAGCAATGTGCTATCATTTGAAATAAGCCAAATGTATATGCTTTTTATGAATTAGTGAGTGCAGTAAGAGAGGATTCATGATCTTGTCAGTAGGAGCTTTTCAGTTTCCATTGTTTTGACTTGGGTTTATCTGTGTAAGTTAAAAATGCTAAGTAAGTCTAACAATGTTTTGCTTTAAATGAACAGCATGGGCATTGAATTACAATCTCCTGTAGTTTTGTGGTGTCACTAAAACAGGTTTCATTGTTTTATTTCATTTCTGTGATAATTCCACGTGACTCTGAATGTCCAGTAATTAATTTCTTTTATTTAGAGCAGCGATGGCTACATTAGGCAATACATCACTACCATCAAAGAAGGACCAAGTTTTGAAACGCTCTGCATGTGAAATAATGCAAAGCTCCACAGGAGAATTTGATTGTCATATTTCTCATCCATATCACTTAGTTTCTGGTTTTTTTCCAAGTTATTTATTATTTTTAATATTGTATTTTTTTCCTTGCATTTTGTTGTAAATAAACTCCCAACAATTATTCTTTACAATTGTGGCTATTTTCTTTAACTAGGTCTCCTCTAGCAGGAACATAGCCATTAACATTTCTACCCCCAGCTCTGCAAAGTCACTTCCTCAAAATTAACAAGCACAAAGAATTGGCTTTGTAAGGAAAATTCAAGCCACTTCTAGGTTTAAAATTTAAACCACATCTACTAGGTTTTGTTGTGCCCCAGCTTTTTTAAGATTTTATCAGGGCAGGTGCCATCAGTTTGGCGTTAGCCCATTCACTTGTAAATGACCATTTGGTTGACAAGGAAGTTTTTCTGGAGGGAATCTAATTCTCTATGCAGGGTTGGGCAGCCCAGTGTTGTAGTAAATACTGGAACACAGTGGAAAAAAGAGGCCACTCAGAATCTCTCAGGCAAAGCCCCGAGGTGACAGCGCGGGCAACACGGTTCCCCAGCAGCGCTCAGTAACGCAGGGAACGGTCAGGCCTGGCCGCCTCTGTTCTTGGTTTGGTTTGATGGTTTTTACAGTTCGGGCTTGTGCTGGTAGGGTTTCCTAAACAAAAATACTAACGCACGAAGATACATTCCAAATCGGTTAAAAACCTGAACCTGATCCTACCGCTATTAGAATTGGTGGAGTTGGCTTCTGCTCTTGCAGAGGGAAAAAATTCCACCCGTCATTCCTCACAAAAATGAGGCATCTCGCAGGGCAGAATTACATTTAATTAAAGCAGCCTTGAAACCAGCAATGTTTTGTTACGTGGATGAAAAGCTACAGGAGCCTTTTATCTAATGTCCCTGCGCTAATGTGCACGGAGATGTCACCTCTTCTGCAGGATGAGACACTCGGACCCGCGGTGCGAACGCCCGTGGAAATGATCCGAAAGGGACCGGGAACAACCGGAAAGAAATCCTGAATGCGGCTGGCGGTCCCGCTTCGCAAGGGTGTTGTGAAGAATGAGCGGCTCTTCTCCGGTTTTACAGCAGATAAAACGCCCTGAGCGCGCCGTCCCCGTCAGTCCCGACCTGGCAGC